GGCCTCTTTTTTGGTTCTCAAGACTTCGATGTATTGCTGTGGATGCCAAGTGTGGACTTTGTGTCATCGCTTCGTCTTCGCGAGAAGTAAGCCGTTTGGAACACCTCGGGATGGGCAGTACTCAGAGCTAATTAACCGCATTTCTTCCTTGAAGCCGATTTTGCGGAGACAGCTTACTGCCGCTTGGGATTTGGCTTTTACTTGGGTTGCTGATGAGCCTCGTACTCATCATACAGCGCTGCCTCCTGTTTTGCTGGCAATCATTTCCACTTCTATCACTTGGGGATGGATTCGAGAAGCTAACGTGCTTGCTTTACTTTGGGCAGGTATCTGCAGGGTTGGGGAAGTCCTTCTGGCCCACCAGCACTTTGCTCTGTTGCAGATAAGTGAGCCAAAGACGCGCTTCAAGGGCGCCAGACACCAGGCTGCAAACATTGATATTCCTGACTTACTTGAGATTATCGGAATTGCTTTTCGGCAGCTTTCGCCAGATGAGCCGCTCTGGCCTTTTTCAGGCCAGACATTACGCAGCAGGTTTGACAAGGTTTTACGGGCCCTGAGTATCCCTTGTACTTGATTTGGGTTCTTTTCGACCGGGCGGTGCCACCTACCTGGTTGCTCCAGGAGTCTGAAGCTGTCGAACCTGTGAGAAGGCGGGGCAGGTGGCTGTCCACAAGGGTATGTGAGATTTACTTGCAGGAGGCTGTCGCAGTGACGTTTTTCTCTGCACTGGAACCGCGCACCCGGAATATCATCTCGCTTAGCGCTAGATGTTTTCCAGCGTGCCTCGCCCGTGCGCGGGAATAGTCGTTGGCTGGCATACCGGTTAAACTTTGGTATTTTCTCTCTTCCTCACGGACTACTTGATTCTCTTTTCAGGGATGCATGGGTGATGCGCCTTAGCTCAGGCTTGCTTTGATGATCAGGCTTTGCTTCGATGAGGCTTACTTTCAGCACACATGTGCCTTGGCCCGCCCACACTCTGGCTTTGGCAGCTTGAGGCGGCGGGGCTGGCCAAACATATTTCAACCCCATCAGAGGCATGCGAAAAGGGGTGAAAGCTTAAGACAAAGACAAGCCCTTCCCATGCGCCTCCCCTTTGGAGAAAGGGGTCGGCGGATACCTGTGCATGCATGGAAATACAACATACATACATATACATATATATATATAGGGTAACACATGCTGTCTTTCTCTAGCCTTTCTCTCCCTCTGTCTATCCGAGGCTGGGAATCCAAAAGGGCATCATCAGAGAGGCACGGGTTCGTGTTGGCGTTTTTTTCCCACGGACTATAATTTTGTCCCATACCGACCCTGAGGAACGCCAGCAGTTTTTTTCTTTTTCGCCGAGGGATGGTTAGGTCGGAGCTTGCAGGACACCCCGCAATCTGCCGCGAAGCCGCCGCGCGCACCTTTTGTAGAGGTTGTGATTTTTATTTATTTTTTCGGGTTCATGTGGGTATGAGTTTTCATCGGAGCCTTTGGCGAGCATCATGGTTGGGATTGATGTTCGCCACTTTTCAGGGGTCTATGAAGCCATGCGCGAATGTCGGCGCGTCAAGCTGATCAGCTCGAAACCTGATTTTTTTTGAGTTGCTCCTAGTTGGACCTTTATCATGCTTCATCCTTTGGTAGCATTCTGAAGCAGATTGAAAGTCTACATGGAGTCCTTGGCTTTGAAGCGCGCTTGCGCTTACGTGGGATGATCTCATCAGTTGAACTTCCTGAATCAGCAATGCCATGTGCCCAGCCCTCTACAACTACACGTACAGCGGTGCCTCAAAATACTGCCAAACCCACGGCGTGTACCGCTTTTCACATTGACCTTGAACGGCCTGTTGGCCTGTTGTCCTGGGCTTGCGCTACCGCATTGGCATGGCGCGTTTTCACCGGATCACCTGCATCACCACAGACCAGGAGCCCAGCATGAGTCAGCCATTTCGGCGGGCATTTTGGCTGCCAAGACAACCTGCATGTTTCCGCACTTCGCGCTCATTTTGTGCGGCTCACGCAGCGGATTTCCCGAATAAAAGGCTGGGATTGAATTTGAACATCACTTTTTGGTTGCCGATTTGAAGTGAGTTTCTCTCGGTGCTGTGTGCAGCTTGGAAATCTTGATACTTTTTACCCTTTGCTCATACTTCGAGCTGCGATCGAATCGGTACGTCAGGTCAGCGGTTTGTAAGTATAACCAGAGCTCTCCAACCAATGCCATGGTGTTATGTCCTTTTACTGTGGGTTAGTTGCGAAGTCTACACCTTAATTGGTGGGTTGGATTGCTGGCCAGGCTTGAACCCCGGCTTTTAGGGCCAAACCTATTTCTCAACGTCCAAACCAAGCCAAACCAAACCAAACCAAACCAAGCTAAACCAAACCAAACAAAACAAAACCAAACCAAAGCAAACTGGACCAAGCTAAGCCAAGCCAAACCAAACCAAACCAAACCAAGCTAAACCAAACCAAACCAAACAAAACCAAACCAAAGCAAACTGGGCCAAGCTAAGCCAAAGCCAAACCAAAACAATCCAAACCAAACTGGACCAAGCCAAACCAAACCAAACCAAAAGCAAACTGGGCCAAGCCAAGCCAAACCAAACCAAGCCAAGCCTTTAGGGGTAAGGTGAGATTCACGAGGCGATGACCATCCGCACGAAGGATGAGAACGCCAAAGTGAGAGCCACCGCGCCGGAAAACCCAGTTCCCGCGAGCGCCGTAGCGTCCGAGATGAAGACATGGGACAGGTCTAAACTAGGTCTCCCAGCGATTGCTGCCCTTCTCTACCGTTTCTTTATTGGTGGGGAGGGTTCCACTACTAAAATAGACTGCAGAAAAAAGTTGGTACCCTTATTCTAGCCTCTCTGGAGGACCTAGCAAAGATCCAAACCCTTTGGGGTTGCCGGGGTCGTTATGTTGATTGTTTTTGGGGGTGGTCAAAGTCGGAACATGTGGCTTCCCTTTCACCCTGTCAGGGGTGACCATGATCATAGTAAAGTAGTGAGGCCAGGGTTGGGGGGGAGGGTCATCCACCTGGTAGTTGTCTGAGACAACCAGAAGGATTCTTATTTTCGGAACCAGGGAAAACGGGGCAGGTTCGAGCATGGTACATGTGACTGGACAAAAAAATCACGAGAGGCATTGCCCCTCCCTAAGAACCGTGCCTCTAAGAACACTCTTAAGAATGTAAGAACTTGTCTTGGGGGGTGGACCATTGGCTTCCCTAGAACTGAAGTATAGCGAGCTGACTGGAGAAAACCATGGATTGTACCCATGCAGGTTCAGGATTTTGCCCTTGCTCCAGGTTTGCGTTTTTGTTCGTGATTTGCTCGTCTACATCCAGGAAGTCTATGGTCAATTTGGGGTTCAGGACGATTCAGGGGACGCGCCGCACAGTCTGTGCGACGGATTTTGACTGTGACTGATGTGAGGATATTAGATGGGAAGATATAGTTGAGGGCCCGTCAACAGTATGCCAGCCACATATGGGGTTTCTTTTGCTGGCTACTTTCAAAGACGAAATCCCCCCCCCCCCCCGGCAGAATCCTTTCCCCAGCCGATCTTGGTATCCCGGCAACAGCAACCAGTGGCACACATTTGTCACGCCAATATCAACCCCTACACAACCGTCAATCCACCCCACTCTAAACCCTATCCAACCCTAAATGCACCCTAAACCTAATGTGAACCAGCCCCCCACCCACCCTAAACCAGCACGAGCAGTCTTGATCCAAGCCTTCACCAACACTGAACCAGGGCCCACCCTAAATCACATCTAGGTCAACCATCTAAAACCACACTGAACCCCGAAGACGGTTGAACATGCCGCCCTACCTGAGGTTTCGATTGGGAGCATCCCTAGCAATCCCCCGCGAAGCAATTCTGCAATTCATTCTCTTAGTTTTGGGTTTGACAACGGGGTGTGTCAAAACAGGTCACTTGGCGCAATTCGGCGGAGCACGGCCAGCAATTTGTAGTGCCAACTTTTTGAGCAAATAAACGAGATAGAGGTCGCGCCGAGAGGAGAGAACAGATCACGGCCAGCCAAACTGAACCGTCCCTTTTGGCCGAACTTGCAAAGATTTGCTTGCAATTGCAGCTTGCAACCTGCTTTGGCTGAGCTTTGTGGTTGAAAAGCGGAGCCAAAATTGAGCATAACGCGATTTTGAGGGCCTTCCCACATTGAAAGTTGGAGCAGGGGTCGATTCCTGGCCATGGGTCCCCGTCAGCGAGGTCGACATGCCTGAGCATGCTCAACATGCAAGAGGATGCGCACCAGAAGAGGAAGAAGCACAAGGCGCTGGCAAGTCCGCGCAGTTCGTTCGACGGGACCGGGACTCGCGTTTTTGGGTAGAAGCTGATTTGGGTTGAAACGCAAACGACAAGCCCCAGGAGACATGACTGCAACTGCAATTTCCTATTGGTAAACTCATAGCTATAGCATTAAAGAAAACATGATGGTTTATACATTATGCGATTGTAGATTGCTACATGTTTCTCTATATTAGTATATGGAAGTTTCATAGGTTGACCAAGTCTCTTGTTCTATATGTGCAGCATATCTTATCATAGAGCACTTCCTTGTGCATATATATCTACAGTTGAGTGAAAGTAGACAGCACAATTCCCCCATTTCAGTCTACAGACATCCTCAATACTTACCCACATGGGAATTGAATTCCAGCTTTGGATTTTTCAGTCTGTGGGCTATCTTCAAGGACATTCATAAAACATTAACTCTAAAAGTTGTTCCTTTTTCTAAGTGCCCCCCACAAGATGGATTTTCGGTTTTGCTTTTGGTCTTCCTTCACGCCAAAACAGGTACCTTCATTTTCCGCACTAGGTGGATCTATCCCTTTTTAGCTCCAATCTCGAGCACCGACGGGTACCAACCCCAAAACAAGTGCGAGCCCCAAGCCGGTGCGGGTTTTCTCAGCGCGCCAGGCGAAGAAGCGGGGCGACTCGCGCCTCAGCTGCAAGAAATCCGCGGGAAATGTAACGAAAGTCCGGTCGGCATGGGTCCTGCCTATTTACTAGCGAGCTCACCTTTATCCGGGGGGTATAACGAGCTCGTGACAAAGGTCCTTTGCTTGCAGATCCATTAATTCGGGGTTCCAGAAAGGTTTTTGGTTGGTTTTAGGTGGTGAAAGGTGGTTGGGGGTTTCCCCATTTCACCCACAAGCTAGAAGCTTATAGAAGGGGATCAGACAACGGACAGCCCGGTGAGTCGGAGAGTATCTAGCTGGTAAGGGAGCCGCTCAGGAGCTGGTATCGAAATGCCTTTAAAGATACCAGGAGGTCTGTAAGGCCATGGTAAGTAGGCATGCCTGCTTGGCTTCTCTTTTGACACTTCTTCGGTGTTCACTCTGGTTTTAAGTTTGGTTCTAATCATTGGCAGTGCCATATACATATCTTGTCCAGAAGAACAACTGGACCAAGGGGTAAACAAGTTGGGTGAAAGCCAGTGAAAAGTCGAGGCCACTTTCTGCGATAGGGGACACAGCTTGAAGTGATAAACTAGTCACAGTCCTGAGAATGGCTCACTTTGGTATCACGAGTGTTTGCCACGTGATGCCGGGGACTAGTTTGTGGGTGTCCAGTGGGTGTACTTGATTATTTGTTCTATTGCTTTGCTTGGTTTTGCGTTGGTGTGCTTGCTTCTTGTTCCTTTGCATGTTACATGAGCACGAACACCTCCAGGATTCTTTCGCCAGAGTCTCGCGCGAATCTGAGGCGCGAGCCAGATGCGGATGCGGATGATGACGAAGATGTTGAGCTGGATGGCGCAGCTTGGCGAATCCGGGGATCCGCTCGTTTGTTCCTTGGTTTCTTGCTGGGAGCCTCGCATGAATCAAATGCGAGGCGCGTTTGGACCTCCAAGCAGTGACACATTGCAAACGGCCAGCATGGCCAAGTTTCGGGAAATCCAGGACAAGATTCGTCAGAGAAAGTGGGCGAGTCGATAAACAGTTCTACTGATCTGGAGTTCGCAGGTCACAAGACTTTGCGGGCAGAACCGGCATGATTCTTGGGGTTGATGCACCATTCTGTCCAAGCGTCACAGAAAAAGTATAAGATAAAGTAAAAGAGTTGGGTTCCTTTGGTTTCGCTTTGAAACAACCCCGACATGGATACGCTCAAAAACGCCGCATCCGTATTGTGGATGGACGACAAAGAATATGCACCACCTAAGAAACCATGGAGTGTGATTCGATTTTTCTGCCAATACTCACAAACAATGGTTTCCCGTTGTTTCAAAGTGGGTCAAGATAAAACCACCAGGATATGGACCGCAGGTTTTAGTCCTTACCAGGGCAACCCATTTTGGGGTTTCCAACGATTTTCGACCACCGCAGCCATAGCTCGCAGGCGCTGGAGCTGGAGGACATCGCGCGGCTGGTGATTTCATTGACGCGGCGCCTCAAGGACTGAGAGGAATCCTCAGCAAACTCCCGCGGGGTGGTCCAAGTGGCCCGGGGCTTGCGGCGAACAACCTGGACGTCAGGAAGAAACTGGGGACTGGGGGGGGGGGTTCAGGAGGCACCGCGACTTTGGGTGAAATCAAAACGCAGTCCAAGATGCTTCAACTTTGCCGGAACTTCCACCCAAGTGCAGGTTTCCTCTAAGATGTATAGACTTTCAGCCCAAAAGTGCAGGCTTTTGGATGGAACCCAAAAGGCAACAAGGAAAGGGTCAGCACGGACCTGAATACCCTCGAACCAAACGCCAAATTTTCATAGGCAACAGGACCACCCAATGTGCCGGGGAGTTGTACGATGGTACACTGCTTTGGCATCCGATCCTGTTCTCGACCTTGATTCGCCGCCGGCCGGCCTTGATTCGCCGGCCGGGGAATGGTCCTATCGGTCGGGCCTGTCAGTTTCAACTTTTTAGGCAGGGCCAGCTCAATCCTCGCATTTCACGTGAAGCAAAGAGAGAGTGTTTTTTGTTTAGGGGTCCTTGGTTTTTTGTAGACATCAAACCTCCTCCTTTACGGTTTGAAGACTTCGTTTTGTGGTTCCGTGTTTGGGGGGAGGTTTGGAATGACGGATCGAGCTCCAGACTCACGACACGAGCCAATTTCGTCATGGCCGGGTCTTGAAGCTCTCGGCACCAACATGGAACGAATTGTCCCAGCCACGTTTCGTGGCTGGCCATGTGTCTGAGAAGCATCGCGTGGTTTGCCCTGCCAAGGTGCCCCATAAATTTCCTGGGGGGGGGGCATTCTTGTAGGATGATGTGTTTCGTTTTTGGTTGGGGTTCCTGTGGGGATCTCAGGAACCTGGTCCAACTCGTAAACCGGTTCCATGTTGGTGCGAGGGTCAGGGGCTGTGCAGCCCAAGGCTGGAGGAACAGATTGCCACGGCCATGCAAAGTTTACACAAATCGGCACGCGGCACGCCGCCATGCTGAATCTTTATGTGCTTGTCTTTCTCTCTCTTTTGCGGTAGACCTTGTTCAATGCCATTGAACATGCGTGTCTTGAAAAAAAAAACTGCTTGGATGAAGGGAACCACAAAAGGCGGCTTCTGGTGGTGACTCACTTTGCTCTCTGCAGCACACAGCCAGCGTCTTCGCGAGTGAAAAGAGGAGAGGTTCTTTCGGAGATGGTACTCTCGGAACCAGCGAATCGTCGAGTTCCAGAACGATGTTTAGTTGCTTTTAGGTGGTGAAGGTGGTTGGGTTTCCCCATTTGACTCACAAGTTAAAAACTTTGAGCAGGGAATCAGAAAGCGGACACCCCAGTACTCATACCTCTTTGTCTTGGGGGGGGTGTATTTTGAGGGAAAATCACGGGGGATGTACCCATGTCCCTGACTCCGTCTCTTCTCGCTCTTAGGGCTCACTTGAGTGCGTCTTTGGGGCATTGCACCGATTTGCCCAAATATAGGTTCGTCCGGAGCCAAAGGGTCACTCCCATATGGGTGTGGTTCTCATTTTTGTTGACGTTGGTAGCCCTTGTTGTGTAGGTTATAAAGGGAAACCAATAGGAAAACCGAAAAGGACAATTTTGGGTCCTTACAAGGAACCGAGCCACACTAACAAACTTTTGAAGATGATCTGAACTTCGCACCACTTGGGCCGCAGATACAGCCTAACGACGCTCTTCCCAACAATCACGGCAGCGCACAGGGTTGAGAAGACGATAAAGATGGTAAACACATTTGTCCATCCACACTGGACAGAAGGTAAGGTCGAAGGGGGTTCTCTCTGCTGAGGCGTTGTTGCCATCCCGTGTGAGTCAGGACGTGTTGTTCAGCACGCCGAACATGATTTCCATTTTTGGGGATTCCATTTCAATGAACCTTGTTATTTTGTCCGTTGCTCATGTGGGCGTGTGTGGTCTTTTTTGCCGTGTCTTTTTGGGTTGGTTTGGCAGGAAGCCACAAAGAAAGCCGAAATCCCCTTTTTTAGTGTCCCAATTTTTAAGACATACATCTGTCATATGTCTTACGCAAATCCAACTCGAGCCTCTTGCATATAGTACGTGGGGTTTTTGCAATTTGGGAAGATCATAAGCAGACCTTCCAAAGTAGGCAAGGTTACCCATGGTCACTTGGGCCAAATCCGGGTCCTTGGATTCTATGGCCTAAAGTATTGGTGTTTCCATTTCGGGTTGCAAAGCCAACCTTGTCTAGGTGCTGGAAGGACCGCCCTCCAAAATCCAACCTTAGGACCTCCCAAGTTGAGCCACAATCAAAAACCCGGGTAGATGAAGGATAAGGCACGATCCCAACCATTAGCTGCGGCCGCCTTCCGAATTCTTCAAATGGTTCTGGGCTTGGACCATTTGTGTACCAGGTTTTGATCGCGACTCAAATGGGAACCTGGGAATGTGGCTGTTTGAGTTACCCCCCCCCCCCCGCCCCCGCCTTTTTTTGAGTTACCCGCCTTTTTTACTACCGGGTGAAGCACCACACATGGCCCGAGCTTTGAGCCCCCGAGCTTTCCAGGTGTGTCAGTCGCTGCCAGAGTGCGAGCCTGCGCCCCGGATGCTTTTGCGCGAACTTGGGTGTAGCAATGTACCCTACAGGTTAACAGGGGCCCAAAAGAGTGGGGCCCAAAAGGAGGTTCCTCTACAAATAGTTGTGTCTTCTTTTTTTTCCCGGGTTCCATGGTTAATGTAGGAGGTTACAACCATGGTCAGAACTGGGGTCACTGGGGTAGGTCACGTTTTTGTCCATTTTTATAACCTATCTTGAATATTCATCGAAGGAATTGCTTTTTTGGGGGGCCTTGGTGGGGCAAATCCATGGGGTTGGGGCACGAGCACGAGCCTCTAGACTTCCTCCACATAAACTGCGGGGTGGCCGGAGCCCAAGTTGCCCATGCGCATCAAGGACCTCCGCGGGGAGTAAATGGCCCATGTTTTCCCATGAGCATCGCAGATGGCCCTGTCGAGCGCCCATCGCGCGCGACTTCCTCGCCAGCCAAGTGGTCAAGAGGGGCTGAGCCTCGCGTTAGGGAAGACCGAAAAGTACCAAGCTGAGACTCGCGTCACGGCGACCACGGCGGCCTTTTGTTTGATCACCGGGACGTCGATCAAGACGTCACAACATCTTCCGAGCCATGGCGCAGGAACATCAGGAGTACATCCAGAAGCTTGGCAAGCACTAGTTCCAGTAGACCTGTTTGTTTGTTTGTTTGTTTGTTTGTTTGTTTGTTTGTGTTTATTTGTTTATGAGTTTTGAGTCTTGAGCTTGGCATAAGGTATGTGCCAAAATTAGAGGTATCCACACAAGTAGATGTTGGTTTTCCTTTCGGCTTCCCAAACAAAACCAAGCCGAAAAGAGTTCAAGGAACCACAGACACAATAATTATATGTTGGGATTGATCAAAAGTTCCTTTACCTGGGACCACTGGGGAACCCCATGAGAAGATGATATTTTCCTAAATGGGAAGAGTTACTCGTGGTCATTTGGGGCCAGTAGTATTGGTCAACCCCCATGTATATATCTATACATACTAATACATATATACATCCATTCTCGAATCAAGCCAAAAACTAGAGCCTTGCCATACTGTGGATGGACAGAATCTTGCACCAGTTGGTAGGTGGCGAACTTCATCCATCCATAACTGGCGAGGATTTGCTCATCCACTGGGTGGTGTCAAATAGAAAGGTATCCGCGTGGACAGTTCAAGAATGCTAACCCCTCATTCATCGGACGACCAGGTTGATTTGGGTGTCTTTTTGTTTTAGGGAACCCCTTTGTGGCTGGTGAACAAAGCATCACCACAAAGGAAAGCCGAAATCCTTTTTTTTTTGGGACGGGGGTCCGATTCCTAAAAAAGATGAGCCGCCCATCTCGTGATCGAAAGGCAGAAAGTGAATCCGATCCTGGAGAACCTGGTGACGCAGCTGTTGCTGGAACGACCTGAGCAGCTGGCGCCCTTCATGATCAAGCCCCTCGTTCGGTGTAGATCAGAGAAAGTCACCCTCTGGTTTTTTTGGCGAAATAAGTTCACATGCAAGGCCAAGAAGGGACCATCCCTAGGAGATTCCTTCATACATGGCGGTGGGTTGTTTTAGTTTTGTTCTGCGGGCAAGCAAATGTCAAGTGGGAGAACTCTGCACGAGGTGGGATGGATGAAACCCTATGAACACTGGTTGATAAACCACTCATCTCAACTGGTGCGAAACAGATTTCGTCCATCCGCAGTATCAAGTGGGGTTGCAGCCTTTGGTGTCCATAAGTAATACATTGACATGGAAGTTTCTGCCCACTTCACTGCTGGCAGGGTTGTAGTTTTTAGCTTCTTGGCTCTGTTCATTTTGTTGGGGGGCTGCCAAAACAGTTTGGTTGCTACCATTCCAAAAGTTGATTGGAGTCCACCCTGATTGAGAGTGCTCCCCATTTCGAGTCCATATTTCCCCCGCCATATGTCCCCCCGTTTTGAAGGGATGAACTTCATGAATTCATTGCAGCCCTTCAAAGGGCGTCCGCGTAGACGGTGCGCGTTGCCCTCTCGGCTTCGAATCGAGTCTCCGTGGGTCCTTTTGGCAAGGCCTACAAGCAGAGGTGCCCATGATGTTCTGTTCTTAACATCGCCTTTTTCACCCCAAGTCCCACTTAGGTGTAATGTTTTAAAGGGCAGTCTGGGGACCCTTGACAACGGTGCGATATGAGGGCGCTGCATGTTCAACCCGTTGGAATCGACCTTTTTTCCTTCCTGGGCAGCAAGCTCCCAAGGACAAGTGGTTTTCATGATTTAAAGGGCAGTCTGGGGACCCTTGACAACGGTGCGATATGATATGAGGGGGGCGCTGCATGTTCAACCCGTTGGAATCGACCCAAGTGTACAAGGAGGTGTCCTTTTGATGTGTCCTTCACACAGGGTCCAAGTTGCCAAAAAAAAACAGCAATTCAAGGTTACAAGCACGCTTGTTGTCCAACCCGTTGATTTTGAAGGGAATCGATTTGTCACTTAATAGTTCATTTTTGGTACTCCGGCACAGGACGGCAGGCGGAACCCACCTGAGGGTTCTCAAAATGGAGCTTTGTCGGGGTAGCTTTGAAGGGAAACCAAAAGGAAACCAGCCGGAGGAAATGGACTTGTTTATTCCGGAGAGATCCAAATGGGAATCAGATACTCACCCCAAGGTTTGATCCTTTTTCTTTGGGCTTTTCTTCAAACATCCAACAAGAACCGCGGCCCAAATGGTGACAATCTTTGCAGCCGATCCTTGAAACTCCAAATATGGCAGTGGGGGTCAAAATAGGCACTCGAACCTGAACCCTGGTAAATGGAATCAAGGGCTAAATCCTGCGGTCCCCTAGCGAATTAGTTTTGATTCATATGACAAGTCTGCTGAGGGATGCGGTGTGCCCAAGCCTTGCACTCAAGAACGACCCCAAGTTGCTGTGAGTCTGTGCGTTCGAGTGGCGTTCGAGTGGCAGCAATCGCCTGGCACGACATTCTGATGGTTCGTGAGACATATCCCCGAAAGTGAAGCCGATCCCCCAACCGGGATCCTGTTTGGCCTGGCAGGAGGGTTCCTATGATCGCCGGATAGCCATTGAGATGAATAGGGTCCATGAGAAAATCGGGGTTTGCTTATTGCCATGGTGTTGGTTGCTATCACCCAAACGGTTTGGATGCGCTTTTCGTGGATTTCACCAGTTCCCCCCCCCCCCGTTCTCCGATCCACGAATTCGCCACATCCAAGAAACAAACTTCTAGCCAAACTCGTGGAGTTTGTCTTGTTCCTCCGACGGCTTCGTCCTCCAGTAGAGAGGTTGGAATAAGGGTACCAACTTTTTTCTTGTTTGTCTATTTTAGTTGGGGGTTTCTCTCCCAACCACAAAAAGAATCGGCAAGAGGGCACCTAGCTGCGAGACCTGGTAAAAGTAGGCTAGAACAGGCCATGGTTTCCTTTTGGTTGCCCTTCCCATCCGCTTCGAAAACCGCTTCGAAGCTTCGGCCGAAAGTTCGCTTCGGCCGAGGTGGCTGTCCCAAAACTCCAAGACCCCTGCGGCGGCAGCGCTCACTGAGGGCGTGACTCGGGCTCGAACCCGACAGCCGGGGCTCGCTCGTTTCGGAGCGCGGAGGCGAAACGGATTCATAGGGCCCTTACATACTGTGGATGGACGAAATCCTGCACCACCTAAGATTCTCTGGAATGATGATTCTTCTGCAAATACCAACAAACAAATTGGCTCCCATGTTTCAAAGTAGTGCAGGAATTTGTCCATCCACAGTAGGTACCACGAAAGAGAACCATGGGTGAAAGCATTTATCTAGAACGCTTCGAGGAGTGCGGAGGCGGAACTGAGTCAAGGGGAATGTCCGGGTTTCCATAGGGGCCCCATATAATTAGGCACCACCCATATGTAAAAAAAACAAAAAATCGGAACGTTTATTGGCATGGTACGGAGGAATCGGCAGAAAACCAGGGCCTCTTAGGTGTCGGAGTTTGTCTATGCGTACCGCTTGGTTCGACGGCCTTGGGGCGAAATCGGCCTCCAGAAATGGGTATGGACCATGGGTCAGTTGCAAGGTCCAGTGTAATCAGACGTGGGGGAAAAAATGGCCTCAGCCTTTTGATGTGGCGGGTTTTCCGAATCTTGGGTTTCCATTTCTACTTGGGGTCCTCAAATTCACACACGGGCTGGATGGGAAGGGCGGCCAAAAAGGAAACCATGGCCAGTTCTTGGGAGCCTACTTTTAGTGATGGCCGGCCCAAAAGGTGAATAGCTTATGTCCTTCTACGAGCCTTCCCCTTCGCGCTTGGGCTTGCCAAGAGTCCACAAATGCAGTTGAAAGGCTAAAACTGGTTCTTCAAGATGTTGGATGGTGTTTAAAGGACGCCAGAAGGAGGTTGCATTTAATGGCCCTTAGCTTCAGTTGAAACAAGACTCCTTTCGTCCAAGTATCCTTTACGGTCGGACTCAAATTCCCCCTCACCCCGGCACCAAAGCTTATTCAACTTCACAGTTGTTGTCATGTTAGGATTTTGGGAATTCGGGGTTCTGTTCTTGTTAGTTGTTTTGTTTTTGTTTTTTTTTGGGGGGGAGGGGTTAGGTTTTTATTTGTGTTTAAGGATGTTGTTTTTATGTTAGGTTTTTGTGGGGGGCTGCGAAACAACTCTCTTTTGGCTACGATACCGAGGGGTGTAAGTCAAGTGAACATAATTCTCAGCCACCTTTAGCACTTGCCTGGATACTCCTGCGTCAGCCTTTTCACAACCCCCAAAGAAACAAATTGGAATCAATTCCACTTTGGCATCACAGAAAGGGTTATTTCCCAGGTGGCTGAAACAAACTTTTTGTTCTTCCCTTTGCCTGGAGGTCTGGTTGTGTTTTCACACCTACCCAAAGGCATATTCTGACCGTAGCTGCTAAGGTAAAAAAAAGGTTCTTTTCTACACAGCCTTGGGGGAATCTGCACGTGCGCTTGGCATAACTGTGTTTGTTTGCTTCCCATGGGGTAACCAATTGGTGATTTGGCTGGAAACCAGCCCAAACGAAGCAATCCAGAGAGAAGCTGAGCCACGTCCTCAAACCCGATTGGGGTAGACGAAGGAAGGGACAAACCCCTTGCCTTGCCATAAATGGGTATCGATATCCGTCTTGCTAATTCTTGAAGCATGGTTCTGGGCTTGGACCATTTAACAACTCTCGGTTTTGATGCTGACTCAGCACTGAACTGAGATGCGTTCGGTGTCCCTTGAAAAAGAAGGCCTGGTCTGGGGAACGGCAGGAGGCAATCAATCGGCAGAGGGAAGCCTAACTTCTGAGGGTGGATTCCCCATTCTTTTCAACCATCGTCCTTTGCAAACATCGGATCATTTTACCGATTCCTGTCCCCCCAGTGCCCTTTTCAACCCCTTTTTTGGTTGGGAGATTCGGTTCCCCTGCTAAAACAGACGACCGAAAAGCTGCCCTTCTCTCCCCTTTCTTGGGCCAGGCTTCCCCATACTAAAACAGACGACCGAAAAAAATATATAGGAGAAAAAACATAAAGTAGAAAAGCACCAAAAAACAAGTTGGTAATTACTCGCTTCTAACTGAGCAAGTCCGAGAGGTGAACGTGCTGAGCGAGCTGAAAGTGGAGATGGAGAAGTTGCAGGCCGAGGTCCAGGGCCTGGAGCAGCAGGCGCCGGGGGAAAAGAAGAAAAACCGGGGGAACAAAAAAAACAACGACAACTTGTTTTTAATGCGAAAAAAACGAGAAAAAAAGGACAACTATGGGTGTGGGTGTTTTTTTTTGGTATCCCCTTTTGAGATGGCTTTGAAGGGCAACAAATGGAGAACCACCCATTTTAAGGGTCCCCCATTTGAAGAGACGCCCATATGGCGGCAACCATGTTTCCACTCAGGGCAACCCATTTTGGAATTCCGGTTTTTTGAGCCACAGCCATATGGCTGTGGTTCAAAAATAGGTACCTCAAATGGGTTGCCCTGGTGGATGGACCAAAACCTGCGGTCCATATCCTGGTGGTTTAATATTGACCCATACCCACATATCCGAACTCGGGGGTCCACCTTTTTGAGTACCCCAAGATAGGCGACACCTAGGGGTCCTTGTTTTGGGGGGAATTAAGATTTTTCATGGGTTTTAAGTCTAAGCTAGGGTGGTCAACAATCAGAAATGGATCCAGACTTGTGTATGGTCCGATTTGGGCACGAGAAGTGCAGACTCTCTAAATCTTGCTGGTGCGATAGGTGGGGAATGGCCTTCCGTGTTGGGAATGAACTGGAACGGGGTTGCCTTAAAGGAAACCACACAGGAGGGTTTTTGCAAAGGTCATTCCCTCATTCCCTGCCAATCGAACCGGTAAGAACAAGCAGGGGGACTCTCTCTTTCCTTCTTTTTTCTTTCTCTCTCTCTCTCTCTCTCTCCCAAATTTCCCCTTGTTCAATAGGGTAACAAGGGCAACAGTACATTTTGACCGTGGCTGACAGGATGTTTGACGCCTGAAGGGTCAAAGCAGAGTGGGGTGCGTCTTCTCTTGACCAGCGCTTGAGCCTCCCGTGGAAACGGCAGCGATTTTCGCAAATCGTGGCTGCCGTTGAAAAGTTGGGTTGGATCTTCGACCTTTAGTCTGTTGCAACACTGCAGGAAATAGGTGTATCATATATTTGAACTCACCAACTCACAGGCACCACCAGGTTTCCCCACACCCGAAATAGATCGGCGTTTTGAGCAGGCCAAACATCGCCACAACGATTTTGCCTCGCGGTGTGGTTTCCTGGTGGGAAAGAGCGCTTGCTCTGCCCCGGTTTCAATCATGCTGATTGTTAGATTGGCGGTTCCCCAACCAGTTCCTTAGGTTTTTGGTTGTTGTATGTGGGTGGAGATGTTGATTTAACCCACCAAAAGTTCAAATCTTTTAAGCTGGGAACCAGTTTGGCCAGCCCAGTTAGGCGAGTTTCCTTCGGGAGGAGATATTCGGAGCCCGTCCAAAAGCGCTCCTGTTGATTCTGGCCGGGGTCAACCGAGCGATTGATGTTGATCGCTCTTCGAAGAACAGCCACGGGTCAGATTTTGACACCAGCCCAAGTCGGAAATTTTATGCGTGCCTTGATGCGGCAAGTGCCAATTGGCAGTGCCGAGATGGGCCCAAAGGTAACAACTCCCAAAGCGCAAGAAGCCTGGGGTAGACTTAGGATACATTTTTCATTTTACCAGTGACTCAAAGGGAAGCAAACAATGGAAAAAACAATTCTACAACTGGGCCTAAGTCTACTACTAATCATGCAGCCAGCATTTCCCCGACCCGGTCAACTGTGTCCATCTCTCTGGGCTTGTGGAAGTGCTTTTTCTAGGGCATGGCTCGCAGGAACCCTGAAACAGGTGAGCTGCCTCTTTCTACTTCTCAAATAGAAGATGCAAAGAGGAAACACACCCCTGACAGTATTGAATGAGGTTTGCTTTTTTGCAGTGGCCGTGTTCGTGCTGGACAAACAACTCCTTCGACTCCTAGACTCATTTTCGTAAGACATCCTCAAACTTTTGCCCTCCTGGGGGGGGGGGGTTCTTTTGGGTTTCCACCCAAAAGAAACTTTGAGAGCGGGCACCTCAAAACGTAACCGCTTTAATCAGCTAAGGGTAATGGGGAAGACACCCTTAACGTCCAAACCACCAAACCAAACCACTGGGGGGAAGGTGATTTAAGGGACCTAGTCCTTTTTCAGGGCCTTCCTTTTGCGCCTCTTTGATTGGAGGTGGCCTGTAAAGAGGAAAAGGAGGAAACCGATGATGAGGAGGAGGACAGTCATTCTCCGTTCGCCGCCCTGAAGGCCTAGAGCTTCGCGAAGTCAACTTCGCCAACTTTTCCATAACCTGACTTCACTTTTGTTGGATCATGTGTTTAGATTTTAGTTACTTAGTTGTTTGGTCATGTTTGGCGGGGCCCTGCAACATGTTTTGTTGCTAGAGTTGCAGAGCCGAGTCCTTGAAGATGGACAGTTGCTGTTGCCACATTCCACAGCGCTTGAAGATAAACTCATTATTTGGTTGCCACTTTTCTGCAGACATCCTGTCGTTGAAGAGAGTTGAATTGCTTTTTCGGCAGTTTCAGTCCTTGGACTTGCAGATTATTTTGCGCCACTCTTCCACATTCCGCCCTTGAAGATTGGCGAGAAGAGGCCGATTGCCACACTTGTTCAAGTCTTAGTGCTTTACTTGTTTGCCACTTTTCCACAGACATCCACACTTGAGGGGCGAGACATGTTTGTTTCGCCACTCCGCTGCTATCCCGCCCTTGACGCGTTGTGGTTGTCGCGGCTTTTCCACATGCTCCTTGAAGATAGGCAAGTTGTTTCATTGCTGCCACTGTTAACACGCACTTCACTTTTGCCATGTTGTTCAAGAACTCGGTTCTTTCCCATTTGTTCAGAGACTGTTGGTTGCCACCCTTCACACGATGGTTCAACCAGCCCACTTATTTGGCACCTGCATCCCATGTCCTCCGACTTATAGAGTTTGGAGGGGGGGTACTCTCCTGTCCACTGACATGGAACCCAGATGGACCATTTTAGAGGAAAATGGTCTCATATTGGTTGGGGCAAATTTTGTGGATGAACCAATTCCTGGACCACCTAAGACACCCTTGAATGATGATTCCCGTGTAAATGCCAACAAGCACTGGTTTTTAACCATGGTTTCGAAGTGCTGAAAAACGGACTTCGTCCGTCCACTCAATCCACAATATCATAAATTTAGGGCTTGGTTTGAACTTTTGGCAAGGGCTTGCTGGCTTTCGTTTTGGGTCATCAGCGAATGGGTTCCGATTGCTTGCACCATGTGTGCTTCCACTTGGACCCGGAGCCCAGTTAGGGTCACCCAAACTGATGCAGAAAGCATTCCAGTTGATGCCCGCAGGGTCCGAGCACAGGGTTTCGTAGGAGATCGCACCTCGTACTTCAAGGGTGAACAGGGTACCCAATCTTTTTGCGGTCTACGGGCAATCCAGGGTTCCCTACTTCAAAGCGATAGGGCGATCTTGGGGCACAGGCTCTTCCCACCCCACCCCCCACCCCCTCCCCCACCCCAACCTCCCACCCCCACCCCCCCTCCCCCTCCCCCGCCCCACCCCCAACCTCCCACCCCCCCAAAACCCTGCGGCCCACTTTTCCAGCTAGGAGATCGCGCCGCCTGCCTCGTACTTCACCACGGGCCCTCGCGCCTCAGTGTCTGCAGAGGCCTACGGCCAATGGAACCCGGAGAGGCTCTTCGTGCCCCCGGTCTTTGCGAAGACGGAGGAGCGGAGGGTTTGTTCTTTGCATTTTGCCGAGGGATGTTAGGACTGAATAACTTTTGCCCAATGGGCTTTCCGAATTAAACCACTAGAAGTCAAACTTTTAGCAGGGGAGCAGAAAGCAACCGAGTTGTTTGGAATGGCTTGGGGTGGTCTTGGGGCAGGAGACTGCGGTGAGAAGCTATTTGGGTATGTCTTTCTTTAGAGGACCCCTCAACAGAGCCGGGACTTTTGGGGGAGCCCAGACACTCAAGAGGTGAGCCTTTACGCATTTCTTTGGCGCACACTCCAAACATGATCAGACCATTGTTTGCAAAACCAACCTCATTTAGGTTTCCTTGAAAATGGCAATGTTTTGGGAGGCCTTTTAGTAATTTTAGTGGGAACAGGGGCACCACTGTAATTTACTGTAACGCTCCAGATTTCAGGGTTTGGTGCCTGGATGTGGTTGGTGCACTTGCGAATTTTAGATCGACCGTATCGCGGAAGTGGCTGCACATCCCTACAAAAACACATAAAAGAAGTTGCTTTGGAGAAACATTTTGCCAACAGCAGCCCCGATGGCCCTGGTTAGCCAGAATTCCGGCCAAGCCGGCAGCCTGATTTCTGAGCTGGATCTTCCCAAAGGAATCCCAACGGCACCACCAATTCTGCCGGTGGAGCGCCGCTTGGGGAGGCGAAAGATGCACAACCACACCCCCCCCCCCGCGCCCGCCGCCCAAAACACAAGCAAAAACAAACATAACGAGCACTGCTCTTCGTTTCGCTTAAACAAAAACAATCCCCAAAAAGGTACCCTCCAAACGACACCGCCGAAGGGCAACGGATCGGCGAAGTTCCCAGGAGCAGAAAACGCGACTGGCCAACATCCTGAAGGACCGGGGTCGGGACGCGGTACCGCCCGATTCTCGACACGAGAAGACGAGAAGACGAGGGCTGTAGAGACGGTTTTTTACTCCCCGGTTGGGAGTAGCTAGCTGAAGACGACATAGGGGTTGCCCAGTGCGAGGGTGCCATCTTGGGAAATATGTGCTGCGGGGTGGCTTTTGTTTTGGTTGGCACATGTCTGAGGCTGTTTTAAACCCTGGAAGCCTTCAACCAAGCAAACAACAGCCCTAGATGGGCGCGAGTCAAAATAGGCGAACACCCTCACTGGCTTCGGTTTTCCTGCAGGGCTCCCCACCCAAAGGTTTCACCGGCGGGGTCGTTGGTTTGAAGACGCCTGGGATGAGATTTTGGACACATGGATTTCATTTTGCTGGCCAGCGGCCTCAAGTTCCTTGGGTGTCCCTTTTTGTCGCAGGTTGGTGACTTGTAATAGATTTGTTTGTGGTTTTTGTCTCAGGTTGGTCAGTCCAAAGAGGGTGGCTTCTGACTGGTTTGAGAGAAAGGAAGGATTGACAACTTGACACGATGATCTTGGCAGGGATGCTTTGACACGAGACTCGGGCTCAATGACTCAGTTGGTGTTGACCCTGATGTCCCTACAAATCGGAGGGTCTCGTTGCAGGAATCCACACGGGACACGTCACAGGGTGTTGCTCTGGAATTGACCCGCAGCACAACCAGTTCCAAAAAAGAAGACTCCGCCAAAAGGGCTGGCTTTCTGGGCTCCATGTGAATCTGCAAACCTCTCCCAAAATGAAGCTCCCCTTGGGGATTCCTATTATGGTAAAGTTGGCGGATACTTGTTTCAGGGCGCTTTCAATGAATTCTGATAAAATGTGTTCCGATCTCTACCAAAGTACCATGTGCAATCCATTTGGGCGTGTCTCAACGTAGGCGTCCCCCCAAAACG